ATATATATATATATATAGTCATTATATTTTTTCAGCTTTCTTTTCTCCATCCTGATCTTTTATACTTTTAAAAATATATAGAGTAATTATATTTTTCCAGCACTCTTTTCTCCATCCCGATCTTTTATAGACTTTTATATAGAGTAATTATATTTTTCCAGCATTTTATCTCCACCCTGATCCTTTGTAGACTTTTAAAAATGACAGAGTGATATGTTCCTCCACCCTGATCTTTTGTAGACTTTTTGAAAATTGCAAAGCGATCTTTTTCTAGCCCTCTTTCTCCTCCCCCCCCCCGTCCTCCTCCTTCTTAAAGAGTTTCCCTGGAGAGAGAGAGAGAGCTAACTTGCCAAGGCACCGCTGCAATCAAACAGCCCACGCCAGGTGCAAAGTGCCAGCAGGGTGGTTGCAAACGAAGGAGGAAGCAGAGAAGAGCAATGGGTGAATTGCTTGCAAAGCAAACCCACACACTTTTATCCGCCGGCGTGCAATGCACCAAAAGCCCGTGCACGCTTGCATTGCCGTGCAATGCGCACCGTTGGTGCCCGGACGATTCCACCCGTCGGCTGTCAATCTTCCAAAGCCACAAGGGCGTGCGCGCGCGCGCAACTCTCTGCACTTTTTCTATCTCGCGGTCCTTTCTTCCCGGGTGGAGGACCGGTGTTTCCTGGTTGCCACGCGTGGGGAGCACGGGCTGCAGACGGCTGGAAGCCTTGCTCTCCAAGGGACGGTCCCGCGCGCGTCTGTGCGCGTCTGTGCGTGCCTTGCATTGAATCACGACCACGCGAATGGGTTCACACCCCTTTGCAATGCCTTGGTAAGCCCACCCTTGGAGTACTCTGCATCCAGTTTTGGTCGCCACAATGTGTAAGCAAAAGATGTTGCGACTCTGGAAAACGAGTGCAGAGAAGAGCAACGAAGAGGATCAGGGGGGCTGGAGGTTAAAACATATCTGGAACGGTTGCTGGAATTGGGCATGTCTAGTTTAATGAAGGGAAGGACCAGGGAGAAAACATCCTTGGCTAAAATAACATTAACAGAGGGATAGAGTCAAGATCAGGTGAAGTGTTAATACCACTTTACAAGGCCTTGGTGAGGCCACACTTGGAATACGGCATCCAGTTTTGGTCACCACGGTGTGAAAAAGATGTTGAGACTCTGGAAAGAGTGCAGAGAAGAGCAACAAAGATGATCAGGGGACTGGAGGCTAAAACATACAAGGAAAGGTTGCTGGAATTGGGTCTGTCTAGTTTAATGAAGAGAAGGATGAGGGGGGACAGGATAGCAGTCTTCCAATATCTCAGGGGTTGCCCCAAAGAAGAGGGAGTCAAGCTATTCTCCAAAGCGCCTGAAGGCAGGACAAGAAGTAACGGATGGAAACTAACCAAGGAGAGAAGCAACCTAGAACTAAGGAGAAATTTCCTGACAGTTACAACAATCAATCAGTGGAACAACCTGCCTCCAGAAGTGGTGAATGCTCCAACACTGGAAGTTTTTAAGAAGAGACTGGACAGCCATTTGTCTGGAATAATATAGGGTTTCCTGCCTGAGCAGGGGGTTGGACTAGAAGACCTTCAAGATCCCTTCCAACTCTACTACTACTACTACTACTACTACTACTACTACTACTACTACTACTACTACTACTACTATTATTATTATTATTATTATTATTATTATTATTATTATTATTATTATTCCAGCTGGGAGGGATCTCGGAAATCTTCTAGTCCAACCCCCTGCTCAAGCCTATACCGTTTCAGACAAGTGACTGTCTAGTCTCATCTTAAAAATCTCCATTGATGGCACGCCCAAGAGTGCAGAGAAGAGCAACAAGAAAGACGATTAGTGGACGGGAGGCTAAAACATATAAAGAACAGTTGCTGGAATTGGGTAGGTCTAGTTCAGGGGTAGGCAACCTTGGCTCTTTTATGACTTGTGGACTTCCAACTCCCAGAATTCCTGAGCCAGCATGCCTGGTTCAGGAATTCTGGGTATTGAAGTCCACAAGTCCTAAAAGAGTCAAGGTTTCCTACCCCTGGTCTAGTTTAATCAAAAGAAGTGATCCCCTTTTGGGACCTTCTAACAAGCGAAGTCCACTTTACAACTGTGGACAACTGCAGGGATTTGCTTAACACAGGTGGCAAAAAACGTCGTAAAATGGGACAAATTTCATTTAACGAGTGTCTCAGCAAAGGAAACCTTGGGCTCAGTTGAGGACTTCCTGTACTCGTGTGAGAAGCTCACCTGCTTTTTCTCCTGGTCTGTCAGCTTCCTGCAAGTGAAACGTATCCATGATTCTTCTAGGGCAATCGCCATGATCCAAAGAGAAGAGCAGGAGTGAAAATCGGAAGCGACGGAAACCAAGAGCGTAAGAAGAAGGGAGAAAAATCGACTAAATCTGATTTGCAGCCGCGTCATTCAGGATACGGCTCCGTGTCTTGACTCTCTCTGGGAAGTGACCTATTCCCCCCCCCCCCCAGCCAAGATCCACTGCAAATTTAGGGAAAGAAAAATTGGACCTACGGATGTATATTTCTAAAAGAAAAAATGAAGCTGTCTTTTTTTTTTTGCAGGATTTATCCAGAAGATCAACCTATATAAAGAGGAAATAAGCACGTTGATCTCTGAGATGTTTTTTTTCGCCCGGCCTTTTTAATGTTCTTTTTAAGAATACTTACCTCTGTCTTTTGGGGAATCTGGACTAAAGCTGCCTGTGATTATTGACAGAAATGAATTTATCTGTAGAAGCAGTATGCTGAAATAATAGGCTTCTGTGAACATTTTCCTTTGCTCAGCCTGGACGGTGGTCTTGCGGTTAATCTGGAAGGATGCCTTTACTCCTCAAAAGGGCATTATATATCTCCGTCAGGTGTAAGATGTCCCACCGTGCTACATTTCTTTCATATCTTTCTCTCCGGACAGAAATACCTTCTCTACATCATGCTGCTCCCTCAAGGAAATATTGCTCCAGGACGAACAAGGTGATTGCAATTGGTTATTTGCTTGTACCCAACGATTGGAGAGTTCGGCTTTTTAAGTAATCTAACTTTTACAGCTTTCTTCAAAACAGGTGGGATCCAAAGGTACGTTGGCCCCAAATCAAAGCAATTCCTTCTTATTTGGACGTAATAGCTTTGCTTTTTGTTCTTTAACAGGGTCTGGTAATCTGAGATTGATATGTGGGGTCCTTGGGGTTCTCTGAGCTGGGTGGTTTTCTTGCAGGCGTTTCATGACCCAACTAGGTAACATCATCAGTGCTAGAAGGGGATGGAGTTGGAGGAGGAAGAGGAGGAGGAGGAGGAGAAGTTTGAGCAGGAAGAGTTGGAGGAGGAAGAGGGGGAGAAGGAGGAAGAGAAGGATGACAATTGTGGGGTCTTTGGTGCTCTCTGAGCTGGGTGGTTTTTTTGCAGGCGTTTCATGACCCAACTAGGTAACATCATCAGTGTTAGAAGGGGATGGAGTTGGAGGAGGAGGAGGAGAAGTTTGAGCAGGAAGAGTTGGAGGAGGAAGAGGGGGAGAAGGAGGAAAAGAAGGATGACAATTGTGGGGTCTTTGGTGCTCTCTGAGCTGGGTGGTTTTCTTGCAGGCGTTTCATGACCCAACTAGGTAACATCATCAGTGTTAGAAGGGGATGGAGTTGGAGGAGGAAGAGGAGGAGGAGGAGGAGAAGTTTGAGCAGGTAGAGTTGGAGGAGGAAGAGGGGGAGAAGGAGGAAGAGAAGGATGACAATTGTGGGGTCTTTGGTGCTCTCTGAGCTGGGTGGTTTTTTTGCAGGCGTTTCATGACCCAACTAGGTAACATCATCAGTGCTAGAAGGGGATGGAGTTGGAGGAGGAGGAGGAGGAAGAGAGGTTTGAGCAGGATGAGTTGGAGGAGGAAGAGGGGGAGGAAGAGAATGACGACAATTGTGGGGTCCTTGGTGCTCTCTAAGCTTGGTTGTTTTCTTGCAGACGTTTCATGACCCAACTAGAGAACATTAGTGCTTGGTACTGCACTAGATCCCTTTCTCCCTTCTAGCACTGATGACGTTACCTAGTTGGGTCATGAAATGTTTGCAAAAAAAAACAAACAACCCCAAGCAAGCTCAGAGAGCATGAAGGACCCCACAGTTCATCCCTGACCCACAAATATTCTCTTCTTTTGGAGTGATTTCTAGGTAGAGAGGCCCACCAGCCTCTTGACCAAACGTTGATTCATCCAATTTGTAATAATTAGGGTGTATTTAGTGCTAACCAACAAGTATTTTACAGAATATTGTGCATAAAATCTAGAACTGTAGGTGTGTTGTTTGGTGCCTGGATTAGGAACCATCCTTTTTAAGTTAAAAACAAGAGTGTTTATGGAGATTCTCAAGTCATCCAGGTCAGGGCTGTCCCAAAGGTGCTTTTTCAGGAGGCAACTGGACTTTCTTGTTTTTCTTTGAAGACGTTTCGCTTCTCATCCCAGAAGCTTCTTCAGCTCTGACTGGATGGCGGGGAATGGGAGGATTTATACTCCTTGCAGACAGCTGGTCATTTGCATCCTTTTAGAGAGTCGTTGAGGCCACTTCGAGGCTTATCTGTGTCCTCAGGGTCAGCTGAGTGGTGCAAATGGGTGTGGAGCCTTCTTGGAACTGCTGAAAGGGCTGTATTGTAGAAGATCATCTACCTCCAGTCTACCACACAGTCCTTTCAGCAGTTCCAAGAAGGCTCCACACCCATTTGCACCACTCAGGTGACCCTGAGGATACAGATAAACCTCCAAGTGGCCTCAAGGACTCTCTAAAAGGATGCAAATGACCATATCAATCCTTCCATTCCCCACTATCCAATCAGAGCTGAAGAAGCTTCTTGGATGAGAAGCGAAACATCTTCAAAGTCCTGAAAAAGCAAGAGTGAGCTGTCATATCCACCGAGTACGGTGTAGTTAATAAGATGTTTTTGTGAAAATATTCTTGTCGTGAAGCAGTTTTTTAAATGGCTTTTAATGCTTTGCGTTTCCCTTTTTTAATCTTCTTTAGGATACAGTGGATATGTCATTGTTTCCTGCAGAAAATATTAGAAATTTTAGCATAGTTGCCCACGTGGATCATGGAAAGAGTACGTTAGCAGATCGGCTGCTGGAAATAACAGGTGGAGTAATTTTTATAAAATGCTGGCATCTATATTTCCATATCGGCTATGCATCCTAACGCCACGTTTCTTGAATTTGCTGAAGATTCCATGGCAAAAACGTATTTCAAATATTTAAGGTCCCCATGTTTAAAATGTCGTGTTTCTCCATGGAAGTGACTCTTAAATTTCAGTTTATTGCAGTGCTGTGTAGTGTATTTCAGGGGTCTCCAAACTCGGCAACTTTAAGACTTCTGGACTTCATCTCCCAGAATTCCCCAGCCTGGCATAGCCAGATGGGGAATTCTGGAAGTTGAAATTCACAAGTTTTAAAATTGCCGAGTTTGAAGACTCCGGGCGTATTCATTTAAAGCAGTGGTTCTCAACCTGTGGGTCGGGACCCCATTTGGGATCGATCAACCATTTCATGGGGGTCGCCAAGCAAGGCTGTCCGCCATTTTTTTTCTCCGCCATTTTTTTTCTCCGCCATATTTTTCCCCCTTTTCCGGCGGGTGCCTTACCTCCCTTGGGCTGGGCCAGCTGGTGGTCGGCCTGCTCTGTCTCTGCCGCTTTCCAGCTACGCCTCGGCCGGCGCAGGGGGCGGAACCACGCATGCACGGCGCTCCCGGGCAGGGAAAGTCCTCAACTTACGACTGGTTGGGTAGTCCTCGACTTACGACCGGTTTAGTCCTCGACTTACGACCGGTTGGGGTTGCGGCATTAAAAAGGTTGAGAACCACTGATTTAAAGTCAAATGAAATGTTGAGATTTCTGTTCTGTTTAGACAAGGTAAAATTATGGCTGCTGCATTTGCAGTATGTTTTTTCCGAAACTACAGTAGACTTGCATATTGTAGGAAAAATGTTTACCATATATAGTCAGAGCTAAGCCAAATATTTTGTAAAATACACCCCAAAAGATTGGCTTCCTTGCAAGTGTGTATACCTTAATGACCACAGGTGATTTGCTTAACGTGAGGTTGTAAATCTTGTCATATGATGTCCTAGTTAACCACCAGGGTCATTCACACAACCGCCGTCAGGAAAAATGAATTGTTAAGTCCATTGTGTTGACATGATGTCTCGTTTAACAACAGAGTCACCGGTCTCAATGAATACCTTGTCTCTTAATCCGTTTTCTTTGATTTCGAAAGCCAACAGGGAAAATGGAACTTGGATCCTTGTATTGAAGACTAACAAGTGGAGGGTCTCCATTTATTAATGGAAGAGTCTTCATTTTGCAGGGGTAGAGATGTAAAATTTCCAGAAATTTTGAAGCCACGAGAAAAGAAAAAAAAAAAAACGGGTGTTTTTTTTAATCCCTATTTTTTTTTTCTGGAAAAAAATAGAAATTTTGGAAAAGTTGCAAAAGAAAAAAAAAATCAGTGTGGAGTAGTTAAGGAGAAATTTCCTGACAGTTAGAACAATTAACCAGTGGAACAACCTGCCTCCAGAAGCGGTGAATGCTCCAATACTGGAAGTTTTTAAGATGAGACTGGACAGCCATTTGTCTGAAATGGTGTAGGGTTCCCTGCCTGAGCAGGGGGTTAGACTGGATGACCTCCAAGGTCCCTTCCAACTTTATTATTATTATTATTATTATTATTATTATTATTATTATTACTACTACTACTACTACTACTACTACTACTACTACTACTACTACTACTACTAAAAGGAAGAATCCGTCAACGAGTAAACTAAACTGGAGCCGTGCCCCCTAGTGGCACAAATGCATATTTGCGGTGCCCCCTAGTGGCACCAATGCATATTTCTCTTGTTCGAGATCTGCATTGACAAGTTAACTTAAATTGTATTCCAGGACCTGCTTGTCTTCGGCTAAGAAAACTTACAATAATTTAAGACTTTGCAAAAAGCCTCAGAAATCTTTCATTGAGGCCACACTCCTTTTTTTTTTTATTGAAAAGTTTTATAAAAGTTACAATATAAACCCCAAAACCAACCCACCCTAAACCCCCCCTCTCCCTCCCGCACTTCCCAGAGCTGAATGCAGGGTTACAAATATAATAATCATAATCTAACTAACATTAACCAACTATATAAATAACCAAGTCCATAATGCGCTTTAACTCCCCTTTAACGTAAATATAATAATAATAATTAAAACATAAACAAATTATTTATTTATTTATTATTTAAATTTATATACCGCCCTATCTCCCCTACGGGGCTCAGGGTGGTGAACAGGCAATAATAAAAATTAGTATCCTAATTATTAAACAATAGAATATTGTTAAACAATACTAATACTAAAAATAATAATAATATCATATAATTAAAACTGATAAAAAATTCACTATAATAAACTGTTAATACTAATAGTACTCTAAAATTTACTCATAGGCTAAATGGAACTTTTTAGTCCCATATTTATTCTAAATATAATCTATCCATCTTCTCCAAACTGAAATGTATCTTTCTTGTGAATGAAAAAAGGCCACACTCCTTTTTTGTTTTTTTATTTTTCCGGAGGGGAAAAGGCTTGGGGGGGGGAAACGGGGAAAACTCTGGGTTTTTCCCCCCAAATTTTTCCAGTTTTTCCCCCCCATCTCTATGCGAGGGCTTGGATGGATGGGTGTGGGGGGGAGGTGTTTTGTCAATTGTCTTTCTTTTGTGCCACTCCTGAGTCCTCCCAAATCTGCCACAGTGGGGAGGGGGGGCTCTCTTGGACGACTGTGGTTAGAAGAGACCCTCGGCAGAGTAACTTCTAGAAGTGATGGGAATCACGGGGGATTCGTTGGGTGGGCTCTGTGGTGGACCGAGGACCCTCTCTTGGGAAGAGAATGCAACTCTCACCTTCACTATGACTGTCTTTCATCCTCTAGGAGCCATTGCCAAAACCGGCCATAATAAACAGGTGCTGGATAAACTGCAAGTGGAATGAGAAAGAGGAATCACAGTCAAGGCCCAGACGGCTTCCCTTATTTATAACCACCAAGGAACGAATTACCTCTTAAATCTCATTGATACGCCTGTAAGTGCATTGTGGGTTATGAACTAGGTCGAGGACTTTGACGACAAAGCAGAACGCAACGTCGGTGGCTGCAATCCAACTGGTTGCGTGTTTAGGCTGGCCCCACACTCTCACCTCCTGATATATTAACCCTAAGCAATCCTTCTGTTGAGCTTAGATGAATTCCCTGTGGTTATCAAAACAGGCGTGAAAGTGCAGCAGCGGATTAATCCCTAACCATAATCCCCTTCCCCGCTAATAGAGCTACTTCATTCAATGAGGCTTAAGGGTCGAGAGAGTTTGCAAACCAAAGCCGGCTGTTTAAAACAGCCAGACGTCTTCGTTAGGAGATAACAGAAGTCTGGAAGGCATTCCTTAACAATGGGGAGATCCCAAGTGCAAAGCCAAAAATCCCTGGTCACCACGAGGACATCAATGGGGTCAAAATGGCAGGCAGTTGAAGCCCCGCCATTTTTTATGTTCACACGCCACCTGCATAACTTCTGCCTGTTCTTTTATGCCAATAAAGAGATTGAGGTAGCAGCCATTTATTCCTGCCGTGGAAAGTTTGTTTCTTCACCACCATTTTGGATGTACCTAGGAGAAAAGAAGAGGGATGTGCAGTAATGAATTGAAATTGGTTTGAGATTCTTCTGATAAATAAGCAGAGGGTCAGATAGCAATAAGACTTATATACCGCTTCACGGTGTTTTACAGCCCTCTCTGAGAGGTTTACAGAGTCAGCATCTTGCCCCCCCCCCAACAATCTGGGTCCTCATTTTACCAACCTCGGAAGGATGGAAGGCCGAGTCAGCCTTCAGCCTGTCAGGATCGAACTCCTAGCAGTGGGCAGAGTTATGGAAGGGAGGGAGGCAGGGAGGGAATCGCAATATCACTTAGACCAGGGGTAGGCAACCTTGGCTCTTTTATGACTCGTGGACTTCAACTCCCAGAATTCCTGAGCCAGCCATGATGAGGGGAAAGGGAGAGGTTTCCAAGCTGAGCCAGGCTGGCTCAGGAATTCTGGGAGTTGAAGTCCACAAGTCATAAAAGAGCCAAGGTTGCCTACCCCTGACTTAGACTTGTATACCACTTCACAGTGCTTTACAGCCCTCTCTAAGGGGTTTACAAAGTCAGCTTATTGCCCCCAACAATCTGGGTCCTCATTTTACCAACTTCGGAAGGATGGAAGGCTGAGTCAAGCTTGAGCTGGTCACAATCGAACTGTTGACAGACTTAGCCTGCAGTGCTGCATTTTAACCACTGCGCCACCATGGCAGAAGGGAGGGAGGGAGGGAGAGAAGGAATAGCAATAGCACTTATATACCGCTTTGGAGGTCTTTACAGCCCTCTCTAAGCGGTTTACAGAGTCAGCCTGTGGCCCCCCCAACAATCTGGGTCCTCATTTGACCGACCTCGGAAGGACGGTAGGCCAAGTCAACCTAGGTGATGCCTTCATGACAATCTGTTGATGTTCCTCATCAGATGTTTCTTCTCTTCTGCTCAGGGTCACGTGGATTTTAACTACGAAGTGTCGCGATCTCTGTCGGCTTGTCAAGGAGTCCTCTTAGTGGTAGATGCAAATCAGGTAGGTGTTTCGAAAGGAAGTCGAATTTTGTTTCTCAAGGAACGAAAAGGGCTTTCCCGTGTTCCAAATATGGCTGTGGAAAACTGGCTCACCAAACCAACAGCTCGGTTAAATAACTTTTTAAAAATGGGGAAAAAAGGACCAAACGGGTTCTCTCGTAGTCGTGGCTGCCTTGTAAAAGAAACAGGAGTTGGTGATTTTAGTCAGGAACCTTAAAGGAATAATTTGGAACACGTGAAATGTCTGTCCGTATTAACTTGCATTTTTAAGCTGTATTAAGGATTTTCAGAGATGGGGGTGCCTGCGTCAAGTTCCTAAGAACTAGACCAGGGGTCTTCAAACTTACTTGGCTGGCTGAGGAATTCTGGGAGTTGAAGTCCACAAGTCATAAAAGGGCCAAGTTTGAAGACCCTTGAACTAGACGGATGAAGGAATTAGGGATGTTGTTGTTGTTAGTTGCGAAGTCATGTCCGACCCATCGCGACCCCATGGACAACGTTCCTCCAGGCCTTCCTGTCCTCTACCATCTTCTAGAGTCCATTGAAGCTCAGGCCTCCTGCTTCAGGGACTCCATCCAGTCACCTCCTTCTCTGTCGTCCCTTTCTTCTCTTGCCCTCCATCTTTCCCAGCATTAGGCTCTTCTCCAGTGAGTCCTTCCTTCTCATTAGGTGGCCAAAGTACTTGAGTTTCAACTTCAGGATCTGGCCTTCTAAAGAGCAGTCGGGGTTGATCTTCTCTAGGACTGACCGGTTAGATTGCCTTGCAGTCCAGGGGACTCGCAGGAGTCTTCTCCAGCACCACAGTTCAAAGGCCTCAATTAGGGATACAAATGGTTAAAGTGTTGTTGAGCTACTAAGCTATTGAATCAAATGCAATGTTATTTTATTGCCCTTGTTCTGGACTCTTTTATGGGCCTGCTTTAGGAACCCTCAAGATTGGGCACCAAAGTCATGTTTTACCTGGAATAAATGTTTTACCTGGAATAAATCTTGATGTTTTACCTGGAAATGATGTTTTACCTGGAATAAATCTTCTTTTCATGCTTTCTTCTGTTGTAGGCTCATGACCAACAATGCTATTTTTGCCCAAAACAAGACATTGTATTTTTTTCCCCAAAACTTAGATGTTTGCAAGATCCATAACAATGCAAGCTCTTTTGTAGATAGGTTGAACTTCACAATGTGTATATATTCATACAAAACAGCTGGATTCTGCCTTCCTGCATAGATACATTTGCCCAAACCATGTCAATAATATTTTTCAGCCAAGATTAAAAAAAAAATTGGGGTAAAACTTAACTTACAGTACCTATTTTACTATCCCCAACTCTCAACATTGTAAAAAAAGATTTTTTTTTAAAAAAAGGAGCAAAATTTCTTTCTTGAGATGTTATCCCTCATGTAGCCTTTGGCAACAGTTATTTTAAAAAGAGGGTTAAAATGCAGCCAGTAAGTCAGAGTCTGCTGCTGTTGTGTTGGGGTTTGGAAAAATCTGTAGAGATTTTTCTCCTTGTTCAGCTTTCTAATTGCCAATTGGTTTTTGTATTGATTTTTAATTTAACTGCAAACAAAACTTAAAAAAAAACCATGAGCCATCTTGGGTCCTTATTCAACTACAAAGGTGGAGCCTAAATGAAAAATATAAAATAACACAATAGGAGAGAATTGTTTTTTGCATTACGGGCATTTAATAGATGGACCCCTTTACTCTAAAAAGGTATCCTTAAGATGGGATGAGCTGCAGTTCTCAAAACAGCCTTGTGGGATGGGAATTTAATCACTACAAGTGTTGTGTTTGTTCCTGGAATAGGACAGCTTCTTTAGCTAAACCAAACTATCAATTAAAAACAAATGTTATTTGCTCTGTTTTTACCGTTTCTTTACAGGTGATCTTTCATAAGTACGAGCAGAAAAACTTAACGTTCAACTCCGTTGCTATATCAATAGATTTCTTTGGGGGTCTCTGTTCTGCTTCCGCAGCTTTTTTGCAGGCGACATAAAACATAAAACTGTTTGAAATTCATGTTTTTCTAGGGTATCCAGGCTCAAACTGTGGCTAATTTTTACCTCGCCTATGAAGCCCAACTCTCAATCATTCCCATTATAAATAAGGTAAGATTTCTGCGTTCTCCGAAGCAGCAGTTCATTTTAAATATTTTGCAAATTGTGAATCCATGCAGTTGTTAAGGTAGTAACCCGGTTGTTAAGTGAATCTGGATTCCCCGTTGAACTTTGCTTGTCGGAAGGTCACGTGACCCCCGGGACACCGAAACCGTCATAAGTACTAGTCAGTTGCCATAGCGTCTGAATTTGGATCACGTGACCCTGGGGTTGCTGCAAAGGTCGTAAGTGTGAAAATCAGTCGTTAAGTCCCATTTTTCAGTGCCGTTGTAAGTTTGAACAGTCAGAGACCAGTAATAGATGGATAGTCCTATGCTAGATGTCCTGGATGGCTTTTCCTAAAAGGAAAATTTGTGCCCGGTTCTGTTTATGCCTGTCTTCTTTCTTCGACACGGCCACAAAGTGGTAAAATATTGTCTGATTTTTATCCTGATTTTATTTTGAGGAACTCAAGGGGCAGTACACAATGCTTTCAACTCCTATTTTCCCCATAACAACAATTTTGTGAAGTGGATTGGACTGAGAGTGGAAGACTGGCCCAAAATCACCCAGCCACTTTGATGCCCGAAGCAGGACTAGAACTCACCGTCTCCTGGTGATTGGCCCAAAGTCACCCAGCTGGCTTTCATGGCTAAGGCGGGACTAGAACTCACTGTCTCCTGGTGATTGGTCCATAGTCACCCAGCTGGGTCTCGTACCTAAGGCAGGACTAGAACTCACCATCTCCTGGTTTTTAGCCTGGTGCCTTAACCAAATTGGATTTTTTTTTTTTAAATGAGGACTGATTTTAGGCACTTTCTAAGATTACACTTTTATTTGTCAAGCTATTTCACATATTTGCTTTAAATAATCCTCTTCGCCTTAAACGATCCAGATGTTTATTCAGGTTATTAGTAAAAAAATTAACAACAGTAAATGCACAAATATCACCCCATGGCTCTCGTTCCCAGTATCAATGAATATGTATTTTGTCACAATGGAATACCAACTTTATTTGCGTGGTGGGGACTGGTCTAATTTGAATAACATAACAGTAGCATTATTTTGCAGATCGACCTCAAGAATGCAAATCCAGAGGTGGTGGAAAATCAAATTGAGAACACCTTTGACATTCTCAAAGAGGATTGCATTAGAGTAAGATCCCCTTCTTAAGTTTACGAATACCTGTATTTGGAAAGTGCAGGGTTTTTTTATACGTAGAAATGGTTCAGTTAGATAAACGAAATAATTTTCTTAACAATGCACTACGAGGGCAGTCTATTCTGAAGCAAATTGCAAATTGTGAATGTGTGTAGGACTACAGCTGTTGTCATTGGCCGTGATACGGAAGAGTGATAGGTACTAGGTACGTGGTTCTGTTATATGCAGAGATTTCCCTAAGATCATGCTGGAGGCTGATATTTGCTGCAGTGATTGACAGTCAATTTTGAGAGTATAGATCATTTCATTGTTTGGGTTGGCAGCTGACTTTAGTTAATTGTGCCCTTCCTTCCTTCCTTCCTTCTTTCCTTCCTTCCTTCCTTCCTTCCTTCCTTCCTTCCTCCCTCCCTCCCCTTCCTTAATTCCTTCTTCCCTCCCTCCTCCCCTTCCTTCCTTCCTTCTTTCCTTCCTCCCTTCCTCCCTCCCTTCTCCCCTTCTTTAATTTATTCCTTCCTCTCCCTCCTTCCTTCCTCCCTCCCTTCTCCCCTTGCTTAATTCCTTCCTTCCTCACTCACTCACTCCTCCCTTCTTCCTTCCTTCCTTCCTTCCTCCCTCCCTCCTCCCCTTCCTTAATTTATTCCTTCCTCTCCTTCCTTCCTCCCTCCCTTCTCCCCTTCCTTAATTCCTTCCTTCTTCACTCACTCACTCCTCCCCTTCCTTCCTTCCCTCCTTCCTTCCTTCCTTCCTTCCTTCTCAAATACCTTTTGTGTCTGATCACACTTGGTCAAAGGAAGTATTCTATTCCTCTTCTTTTTGGTTCTCTTCTCCTTTCTCCATCCTTCCTTTCTTCTCTCTCTCTCTCTCTCTCTCTCTCTCTCTCTAACATACACACACATACACTCCACCAGTTAATTTTAACTCCTAGTTCTTCTTCTTCTTCTTCTTCTTCTTCTTCTTCTTCTTCTTCTTCTTCTTCTTCTTCTTCTTCTTCTTCTTCTTCTTCCTCTTCTTCTTCCTCTTCTTCTCCTTCTCCTCCTCCTCCTCCTCCTTCTCCTTCTCCTCTTTTTTTCTTTCAATCTTTCCAGTTAACTGTAGGAAAGCTAAACGTTTTGAAAGAAACTCCTTTTACAGCTATGGCTACTTATTCTATCTATGTTTGCTTTGCTGAAATAGCTCTGTGACTTCTGTTGGGAAATGAGTGGTTGGGATTGTCAAATAAACGTGTTTTGGATGCTATTCCTGGGCAAGAATTTTTCAGATACTACATAAGGAATATTACAATGGAAGCATCGGTGGGGCAAGGTGCCTTGTTTGAATTTGAGTGCATCCCTCAAACGAGGCCAAATTGGCTTATTTTAAACTTGTTTCAGATTTCAGCTAAACTTGGAACAAATGTTGAACGAATACTTCAGGAAGTCATCGAAAGGATCCCTCCGTAAGTTGGCTTTCCTGTCGCATGGATTCTGAGCAGTAACTTCCTACAGGTTTTCTGATATCTGTCTGTCCTTGTAAAAAACAGGCCGGCGGTTAATATCCACGAGCCGCTGAAAGCCTTGGTGTTCGATTCTACTTTCGATACTTACCGAGGGGTGATTGCAAACATCGCCCTGCTGAGTGGAGAAATTCATAAAGGACACAAGATCACAACTGCTCACACGAAGAAGGTTTACGAAGTTCATGAAATCGGGATTTTGACGCCCAACGAGCAGCCAACCCAAAAGCTGTAAGTTTTGGAAAGCAGATTAAGAGAAAATATTATGGAAGTAGCTCGGTTTCTTATTCTTATGGCTGGGATGGGGTTGTTGTTGTTGTTGTTTGAGAAAAGTTGTGGGGTTTTTTTCCCCCTTAATATATTTGGAATGTTGTCATGCTACGTCTAGTGCAGGGGTAGGCAACCTTGGCTCTTTTATGACTCGTGGACTTCAACTCCCAGAATTCCTGAGCCAGCCATGCTGAGGGGAAAGGGAGAGGTTTCCAAGCTGAGCCATGCTGGCTCAGGAATTCTGGGAGTTGAAGTCCATAAGTCATGAAGGGGCCATAGTTCCCCCATGCTGGCTCAGGAATTGTGGGAGTTGAAGTCCACCAGTCATAAAAGAGCCAAGGTTGCCTACCCCTGCTCTAAACTAATAAAGTCTACATTAATTAACATTAATTATGCTTTCATATGTTGCTCTAACTGAGGGGTCTTCAAACTTGGCTCTTTTATGACTCGTGGACTTCAACTCCCAGAATTCCTGAGCCGGCCACGCTGAGGGGAAAGGGAGAGGCTTCCAAGCTGCTGGCTCAGGAATTCTGGGAGTTGAAGTCCACAAGTCATGAAGGGGGCCATAGTTCCCCCACGCTGGCTCAGGAATTCTGGGAGTTGAAGTCCACGAGTCATAAAAGAGGCAAGGTTGCCTACCCCTGGTCTAGTGGATAAAATCAGATTATGGGATTCTAGAATGTCTTCTCCTTCTTCATAAATTAGGACCCGTAGGGAACCAATGGGTTTCCCTTTAATTTGCAACTTGTTGCAACTCTTCGGACACTCAACGATCCTTCGCAGAATTGTACAGCTGAGGGAACCCAATTCCTAATGGGCTTATCTACTGTGGCTTGAAACATCTGCATGTAATAAAATAAAACTTTCGTTTAGATACGCCGGCCAGGTTGGATACATGATCGCTGGGATGAGAGAGATTACGGATGCTCAAATAGGAGATACGGTCTATCTGCATAACCAACCTGTGGAACCGCTTCCTGGATTTAAATCCGCCAAACCCATGGTCTTCGCAGGTGAGGTGCGCCCAGTCAAAGAGGGGGTATTCAAGTGAGTTGGGGCTGCCTGGACTCCGGCAGTTCCTGCAGTTTTCTTGGCAACCTTTTTAGACTTGACTTCTTCCAAAGGCTGAGAGAGAAGGACTGGCCCAACGTTCACCCAAGGCAGTAGTAGAATTCACGGCTTCCAGGTTTCTGTTACCCACTCCCTCACAGTAAGAGATCCAGTGGCCGGGGTTTTACAGCTCTTTACCACACCTCTATGTCTGTGTTTGTGTGGTGTGGTGTGATGTGTGTGTGTGTGGTGTGTGTGTGTGAGAGAGAGAGAGGGGGAGAGAGAGAGAGAAAGAGAGAGAGAGAGAGAGAGAGAGAGAGAGAGAGAGAGAGAGAGAGAGATGGAAGTCAGAATCCCAGAGGGGTATGACTAGCTGATGAGAACTAAAGAGCTTGAAATAGCTACACTAGTCTCCCACTAACTCTTTGTCAGCCACAAAAAATTTTGAATTTACAGTGTTCACAGTATGTGACGTCTGCCTGCAAAACATGCTCCTGGATTGGAGCGAAACGCAGAACAGACTGTTTTATCCTATACTTGGTAGACCGGGTGTTCCAGCCAACACATAGATATATATCCTCCCTGGTTTCTGCTGACAGGTGTGTGGGGAACCTGTGGCTCAGAAGGTTAATACAACTGCCTAACATGCAAGCTGCCCAGGTTCGAATCCCAGAGAGATATGACTAGCTGATGAGAGCTAAAGCGCTTGAAATAGCCATACTAGTCTCCCACTAACTCTTTGTCAGCCACAAAAAAAAATATGAATATATATATATGGGTAGAGATGTAGAGATATGGGTAGAGATGTAGGTGGATGGATAGATAGAGATGGATATAGATGAATAGATAGAGATGAATAGAGATGTAGATGATAGATAGATAGATAGATTAGATAGATAGATAGATAGATAGATAGATAGATAGATAGATAGATAGATAGATAGATAGATAGATAGATAGATAGATAGATAGATAGACGGACGGACGGACGGACGGACGGACGGACGGACGGACGGACGGACGGACGGACGGACGGACAGATTTCCTAGTAAACTCATTTTTTTAAAAAAACTTTGAATAGATAGATGGACGGACGGACGGACGGACGGACAGATTTCCTAGTAAACTCCTCATTTTTAAAAAAAACTTTGAATTTCTTCTGCACTGGAGAAATGGCCAAAATGCCTCTTTCAGGAATTTTCCATTCAGCTGTAATCTATATGTGGCAGAGAGAAAGGTAGCAGAAATGTCTGGGGCAGCCATCTTGGTGAAACATTTGCCTAGGGGGGGGTCATTGACGTGGCACCCTAAATGTGTTTGAAAACACACGCCTGTTCACAAGTTTGCCAAAGGTGTTGGGACTGGAATCTGGGAACAAGTCCTCCCTTAGGCATGAATTCCAGTTGGATGACCTTGGGCCCGTCCCTGTCACCTTAGGAAGAAGATCGTGGTCAACCACTTCCAAAATCGCTACCCGTGTTAAATGGATCTAATTTGCAGTGCAGAATCACCTAAAACCATGGCAACTTGAAGACCTGTGGACTTCAGCTCCCAGAATTCCCCAGCCAGCCATCGGTTGAAGTCCACAAGTCTTCCAGGTTGCCATGGTTGCACACACCCGTGACGTAAAGGATATCTACGATTGCTTTTCTGGCTTAAAACCACCTTGTGCTTGGACAGGAGTGTTTCCAACGGACCAGTCCGAATATTCCAACTTGAAAAGCGCCTTAGAAAAACTGACCCTCAATGACTCAAGTGTTACTGTTCAACGTGACAGCAGCCTGGCTTTGGGAGCTGGGTGGAGGTGAGTGCCCCGGCATTCGTTGATACTTCTGGGTTTAAGTCTCCTTTAGTAAAACGCAACGAGCTGGATCCCAAAGATGCTTTTTCAGGAGGCATCTGGGTTTTCTTGTGTTTCTTTGAAGACGTTTCGCTTCTCGTCCAAGAAGCTTCTTCACTTCTGACCGGATGGTGGGGGAAATGGAAGGATTTATACTCCTTGCAGAAAACTGGTCATTTGCCTCCTTTTAGAGAGTCATTGAGGCCACTTGGTTTGCCAGTTGGTACCCTTAAAAATGTCAATGGAAATGTTGCATTTACAGATTGGGGTTCCTTGGCCTTCTACATATGGAAGTTTTTAATCAGCGCTTGGAGCAAGAACACAACGCGTCGGTCATCTTGACAGCCCCCACCGTTCCGTACAAGGCAATCCTTTCTTCCCCAAAATTGATAAAGGTGATGATTTTCAAAAGGAAAAAAATATATATATTCTCAAATCGTCAGCGCCTGAGGGATAAATTGAGCATAATTATTACGGTTTCCGTCATTTAGTTTAATGCTCCAGGAGTTATGTTATGAAGCTTTCAGTTAAGACATTTTCCTCAAGAATATATATTTATCGTGCGGCGCATTCACATCAAATTTTGATAATAATTTTAAAAAAAATACAAAATGTGAAATAGAAAATCTTAAAATATTATAAACGTATGTCTAGTCCAGGGGTAGGCCACCTTGGCTCTTTTATGACTCGTGGACTTCAACTCCCAGAATTCCTGAGCCAGCCATGCTGAGGGGAACGGGAGAGGTTTCCAAGCTGAGCCACGCCGGCTCAGGAATTCTGGGAGTTGAAGTCCACGAGTCATAAAAGAGCCAAGGTTGCCTACCCCTGGTCTAGGTGATAAATACGATGTTTTTTGCTTCATTTGTCACAGCCAGGAAATCAGCAAAGTCTCCCTTATAGGCCCTAATTTTGGCCCTCTTGTCATTTATATGTTGGATAATTTGATTTTTGGTCCCGCAGCCACAATTCAGAAAAGATGTTTTGGCTCACTACCTGTATACAGGGGGTTTTTTTGGGGGGGGGGGGAATCATTTTTTTTTAAACTAAGAAACTTGAAAAATACCCAACTAGCAGTTCTCTTTTCCTATTTTGCAGGAGCATAAAAAAGAGGAAATCACAATCATAAACCCTGCAGAGTTTCCCGACAGTTCCGTGGTGAAAGAATACCTGGAGCCAATTGTGTTAGGCACCGTGGTCACCCCTAAGGAATATATTGGAGAAATATTAGCTCTTTGCCAGGTTGGTACATAAGATGCAGAGCGTCTGTGCAAGGAGGGCGTATTTCTGAGAGCCCCAACGGTGCTTTTTCAGGAGAGAAATAGAGTTCCTTGTTTTGTCTTTGAAGACGTTTCTCTTCTCATCCCAGAAGCTTCTTCAGCTCTGCCTGGATGGTGGAGAAACGGAAGGATTTATACTCCTTGCAGAAAACTAGTCATTTGCCTCCTTTTAGAGAGTCGTTGAGGCCACTTGGAGGCTTGTCTGTGTCCTCAGTTGTCCCAAAGGGGCTTTTTCAAGAGGCAACTGGACTTTCTGGTTTTTCTTTGAAGACGTTTCGCTTCTCATCCCAGAAGCTTCTTCAGCTCTGCCTGGATGGTGGGGAATGGAAGGATTTATACTCCTTGCAGAAAACAAGTCATTTGCCTCCTTTTAGAGAGTCGTTGAGGCCACCTGGAGGTTTGTCTGTGTCCTCAGGCTCACCTGAGTGGTGCAAACGGGTGTGGAGCCTTCTTGGAACCGCTGAAAGGACTAGATCATCTATCTCCAGTCTACCACAGAGTCCTTCCAGCAGTTCCAAGAAGGCTCCACACCGATTTACACCACTCAGGTGACCCCCAGGACACAGACAAACCTCCAAGTGGCCTCAACGACCCTCTAAAAGGAGGCAAATGACCAGTTTTCTGCAAGGAGTATAAATCCTTGCATTCCCTCACCATCCGGTCAGAGCTGAAGAAGCTTCTGGGATGAGAAGCGAAACGTCTTCAAAGGAAAAACAAGAAAGTCCAGTTGCCTCCTGAAAAAAAGCACCTTTGGGACAACCACGACATGGATGACGGAGAATCTCCACAGACATATTTCATAGTTGCTTAATAAGTCTTATTGAGCTGAGGGGCACCAGGGAGTGTAATTATGTGCAGCCATTTTTCTGAATTCAAAATCAGCGGCTCTCCACCGGCGACACACGTCGCAGGCTAATTAAAAATTTTAAGCCTTTAAAACTTATTGTCAGTTATCGTAAGGGCATCCCTTTAATCATGTTAATGCTTCTCAGAGATAGACGGGGGTTTTGTCCCTAGAATGGCGAGACCAGGGACTTTGTAAGAGACTGCTTGGTTGGGTGTACGATGCAAAACGTTGGCAGCCACGCCACCCACGTGGCTGCCAAACCCCTTCAGCTGCTATAAACCAAGATTGATTCTGCAGGTGGTCGTCAAACTTACAACAGTTCCTTCAGTGACAGTTCCAAATTCCAATGAAAAAAAGGTGACTAAAGACTGTTTTTCCACCGCATCCCCAAGGTCACATGATCAAAATTCAGACACTTGGCAACTGACTCGTATTTATGGCAGTTGCGGCGTTCTGGAGTCACGTGATGCCCTTTTGCGACGTTCTGAAGTGAAACGTCTTCAAGGAAAAAACGAAGAAAGTCCAGTCAGAACTGAAGAAGCTTCTTGGATGAGAAGCGAAACGTCTTCAAGGAAAAAACAAAGAAAATCCAGTCAGAACTGAAGAAGCTTCTTGGATGAGAAGCGAAACGTCTTCAAGGAAAAACGAAGAAAGTCCAGTCAGAACTGAAGAAGCTTCTTGGATGAGAAGCGAAAAACGAAGAAAGTCCAGTCAGAACTGAAGAAGCTTCTTGGATGAGAAGCGAAACCTCTTCAAGGAAAAACGAAGAAAGTCCAGTCAGAACTGAAGAAGCTTCTTGGATGAGAAGCGAAACGTCTTCAAGGAAAAACGAAGAAAGTCCAGTCAGAACTGAAGAAGCTTCTTGGATGAAAAGCGAAACATCTTCAAGGAAAAAACGAAGAAAGTCCAGTCAGAACTGAAGAAGCTTCTTGGATGAGAAGCGAAACGTCTTCAAGGAAAAAAACGAAGTCCAGTCAGAACTGAAGAAGCTTCTTGGATGAGAAGCGAAACGTCTTCAAGGAAAAAACGAAGAAAGTCCAGTCAGAACTGAAGAAGCTTCTT